CCTGAAATAAAAAGTATTTTTTTTAAATTCTAATTAATTAGTGCCACAATTAAGTTGAAACTGACTGAATAAATCAGTTGAAAGACTGAACTTTTTATTAAAGAAATAGTGGAAGCTCTTTGAGGGGTCTCTCACCCCTTAGGGACTGTTCGTTACTTATGAGGGGAAGGAAGTGGTGCAAAAAGGGGGAGGCATGTCAAATAATAATAATGAAAATAAACAACAACAAATAAATAAAAAAAACAAATATTAATATTAATAATAATGACAATAATAAGTACTGGGTAAGGACTTATGTTTTTTATTTTGGCTTAGGGGAGGGGCATACAAATTTAAATGGCTGTATTTTGTATTTATTTTACTGCCTATTTAAAAAAAGAAAAAAACATGCCTTCCAAGTTTTGGCAATGTAATCTTTTTTGCAATTTTTCAAGAAAACTTTCACAAGTTTGTACACCATTTATCACAACCAGAAACTGTAAAATCAGAAAGTATCTTTGGATTTTTAGATTTCCGACAGTCCTTGGATGCATCGTGTGCGACAAATACAAAAAAAAGCCCATAATCACATCTGAGCTTAAAATAGTGACGTTTCATCAAAATCACTTCATTCTATGTTTCATTGAAAATTTGGCTGAAAATAAACTGTTTGCACAAACTAACCAGCACAACAAGAGAGAAAAACCGAGGCTTTGTCAACTCCAGGATTTGGTCTTGAACTTTTAACTTTCAAACATTAAAGGGTAAGTTTTAAAACTCAAACAACTAATTTATGGTGGAGGGAGGGTCATGCATTTTCTCTCAGTCACTCAGGGAGGCTGAAGGAGAAATATTTGTAACTTCAGCGAGGATCAAAACATAAATAAATAACTAAATTAAAAAAAAAAAATGAAGTCACACCCAGCCCCCTCTCCTCTGATGAGTAAAGAACAGTCCCTTAAAGGTGCAAAATTGTAGAGTTCACTACATGAGGATTCGTCTCTAAACGCAACCAAAGTGAGTGGCTCCTTGCGCTGCTGGAGAATCTACATACAGTCATGTCTTGACCCGGGAGAGGGAAACCAGGGTTCAAAAAAATAAAACAAAAAATAAAGTAAGGGGAAAGAAAGCAAACAAACAAATCAAAAGGTGCACGAGAGAGACATGGATCGAAAAGGACGGCCCAAGATTTGGTGTTACACCCCTGGGTGGGGTTCACCCTGGACAGGTCACCAGACTATCACACATAGAGACAGACAACCATTCACACTCACATTCACACCTACGGACAATTTAGAGTCACCAATTAACCTGCATGTCTTTGGACTGTGGGAGGAAGCTGGAGCACCTGGAGGAAACCCACGCTGACACAGGGAGAACATGCAAACTCCACACAGGACAGAACAACAGACAGTCACAAATAAAAGAGCCAAAGTCAAACTTTTCTGTAGGTCAACTTGTCTATTTAATATATAAAATACGGTAAAACATACGCAAAAAGGGGAGGCGGTAAGAGGGGACCAATGGATACTTTGGTACAATAACAAACACTTTTTTTTTGTAAAAGCAGTATAGAATTTGTAATAACATATCAGTGCATACTTTATTTATGAAAATATACACAAATTGTATATCATTCTCCAAAAACAACAAAAAAATTATCTTTACAACAAAAAAGCAGACTAGCCGAACACAATATATTAGCTATAATTTATTTTAAACTTTTTTCTTCAATTTCATTTTTTTCTTTTTTATTCTTAAATGTATTTCTGTGTGATGTATATTTGTGTCGATATTACATTTTATTTCCTATAACATGATTCACTCTTCGCCCATGCATTGACATCATTGTGTCTGGTCAGAAATAAGTTAGACGTGTCACGCCCCACCCCCCCCTCCATGTTAGCGTGTGTGGACTCAGAGGTTTGTACATTGGACTCAAAAGTTGCAGCATTGAAGCATTTTGTCGCGGTCGACCTGCTCAGCGCCTCCGTCCACAGCCACACGTGTACTAATATCACTACGCTTGTGTTGTTTTGTTTCATGTCATAAAAATCGTGCAACATTAGTAACACCCTTTTTGAAGAAAAAAGAAAACCCCAAAAGAGAAAAACAAAAAATATATTTATAGAATATTTTTATATAATAAAATAAAATTCCAAATAAAACAAGATGCCTAACCTACACAAAGAAACGCAGATTTCTATACCACCATGCCAGCTTCTGTCAGTGAAAGCTGTGGCGATGATGATAATAATAATAATATCAATTCTCAGAGAACAATTAAAAACAGACTGTCACCAGCACAAATTAACACTGGAAAGTGAGTGAGACTTCTAAACATCATTATACAGGAGCACGTTTCATTGTTTTTTTCAGGGGGGATGCAGATTCTTTAAACTATTTCTCAGCACGATTGTCTTCCTGTTTTGTGATTACAGCGACCCCTAGTGTTGCTCTAAAGAACGTGCCTCACGCTCCACTACTGACAAACAAAACTCCCGTGAGTCCCGTCACAAAGGATGCTATTCTGCTTATTTTTTAACACACCTATGCACCTCGCACACAGAGTTTTATATATTTATATTTTGTTCGAAGCTCAGGGTACAACAGTCTTAAAGGGATAGCTCTGATTTTTTGAAGAGGGGTTGCTTGAGGTACTTATTCATAGACAGTATGGGTGCGTTTGGAAATACTTTGAGTTCCAGAGAGCACTCTGGCACAAACTCGACGATTTGTAAATTCAGAGCGCTTTTGCAATGTACAGTTCGGTTATCCAGAACCCTGCACTCTTAATGTCCATTCTCACTGAGGGTGAATATTCGTGCGGATTATTCTCACGGGAAAATATAAAAGCTGATTTCATGGGTTCTTATGGAAGTTTGCACACCGGGGCGGAACTTTGGTGCGGTGAAAAAAGTTTCCGCCCAGACTTTGACCCCCGTGGAATTCCCCAGCGGAACTACACAGTTGGGCCAATGAAATTGTTTGTTTACAGTGATGTCGCGCAGACCCGGGAGAGTCCAAAATCCAGTCAGGCAGGACAGTATGGGAGAAAGGTTGATAAAACTCGTTTCACAGCACCCTGTCCTTTTTGATAACAGACGGGATGATTTTATGAACAATGAATTAAAGGACAACGCCCGGCAGTCCACTGTCCAGCTTGTGAGTGGTAAGTGCTAAAGAAAGTTGATGTTGACGCTTGTTAAACGTTAGCTTGCTAGCTCGCTGCTGCTGCTGATATCATCCATGTTCACCAACACCCGTTCACACTGCGCGGACTTGGAACACAACAACGTGAAATTCCGCACCACGTCCGTACCGCGCCTGTGTGTATGGTTTAAACGCGGAAAAGCGCTGCGCGAATATTCCGCAAAACCGTCCCGCATTTCCGCATCAGCAGTGAGAATGAACCTTAAGAGTGGCAGACCATTGGTTAATTCATGTGGAAATATAACGCTCTGTTTCTTTGAACAACAGAGCTCTCCTTTAAGTGAAGAGCAACAGATTGGATTTAAAATTGCACTCTGTATTATAAACAGTAGATGTCAGTCAGCGTGCTGTGTTTTGGAGAAGCAGGCTGGAGTCCCACGTGGCGACTGTGGACGGGGTCAGCAGCAAAATGCAGTCGTTAAAGAGCTCTAATCAAAGCCAGACTCCATTGAGAGAAACAGTGATTTAACATTGCTGAATACGGGAGCTGCTGCTCTACTGCCGCCTGGTTCAGTTAGTTAGTTTCTGTTATTGTGTGACTTTGGCGTTTAAAATGGTTAGTCCAGATTCACACAAGAGTCACACAATAACACAAACTAACTAACTGATCAAAGCAGCAGCAGACCAGCAGCTCCTGTGTTCAGCAAGCTAAAATTACTGTTTTTCTCAATGGAGTCTGGTGTTTTTGACGAGAGCATACTGTAGATGCCAAACCAGGCTGCATGACATCAAGGTAAAGCAGTAAAAATACTTTCAATAAAGCGTACAGTCAAACTGATATTGATTGTTTAAGATGAGACTATTTCTAGGTGACTAAAATATGTTTTGCTGCTGACCCCCATCCACAACTGTACATTGCGCAGTGTGTCAGACTCCAGCCTGCTTCTCCAAACTGGGGGCTCCCAGACATTGACATCTACTGTATGTAACACACTGACTATGGATAACTACTCCATACAACCCCACTTCAAAACATCCAAACTATCCCTTAACAGTCAAAGTGTTTACACTCGAGGGATTTATGTTCACTCTGCCACGCGCTCGGAAAAGCAATATTGACACTCAGACTTGTCACAGAGTGGATGAGTGTGTGTGAGTGAGTGACAGACGGAGAGAGAGAAGTGAGGAGAGGATGATAGGAGTAGTGTGTGATGAGGCTGGGAGTTATGTGTGTGTGTGTGTGTGTGTGTGTCACCCATGGAAATGACCCCAAAATAATTTGACTTGTCATTTCGGCGCTGACACCCGCTGTCTGGACGGAGTAAACAGAAAAGTAGTGTGTGATGAACTCTGTGTGTGTGTGTGTGTGTGTGTGTGTGTTTGAGATTAAAAAACAAACTGAGTAAATGAGTGAGTGAGTGACAGGGTGAGAGGGAGGTGAAGAGGGCCTGCCCATGAGGAGGATGTGGTGGCTGCATGTGGTAAAAACCAAAGTCGACAAGTCTGCGTTGGATTTGGGAGGTAGTCATTAAAAGATCAAGACTGGTTCTGAAACCTCCGGCTTAACGACAAACGATACCCAAACTCTGCCTCCAAAGCTTTTAACGAGCGATGGATGGAGGCTGAGAGTGCTTTTAGGAGAAAAAATAAAATAAATACATGAATTTGCACTCTTGACCACTGTGGTTTTAAAATCTACCCACTAAACCCTAAATCACCCTTTGCCTCTTGGTACAAAAATGACATCCTTCACTTTTCTTTTACCTTCATAGTCGTTTTACCGCTCTGTTATATAAAACTACAGCCGACCCAGGACAGGCGGAGGAGAAGATCCTTTAAATATAGATACATGGCTTTTAACAGGAGGAAAAGGTCGAGAATAAAAAAGGGGACATCCTTGGCTCACTTTATTGTATTCGATCTGTGTGTTTGCTTTGGAGTTTGACTGATATGTTTCTGGTGCTGCAAATACTCAAAAATAAAAAATTTTATCTGCAAACATTTTAAAGGTGAAAACCTTTTATGGGGGATTTGGACCGTCATGAGACACTCAAATCTCAATGTGGAGAGAAAGATGAAATAGTTACTTTAAGGTTAAGTGTGTAAGATTTAGGGGGATTTAGTGGCATCTAGTGGTGGAGATTGTGAATTACAACCAGCTGAAACTTCTCCTGGTTAGAATTCCTTTAGCGTTAATTTGTTTTTAGGTTTTTAACGTGAGTAGAATTATCTGCAGACGCCTCCCAAACAAACAAACCAGGTGATTTAAAGTGGTAAAAATACTGAATAAAGCTGTTGCCCGTTAATAATCCGTATTATTCTCATGCTCTCGCCACAGAGGGGCTTTCACTACGGTGGCCGATGCGATACCGCAAATGTCCCTATCTAGAGCCAGTGTTTGATTTGTCTGTTCTGGGCTACTGTGGAAACACAGCAGTGCAACATGGCGATCTCCATAGACCTGCTGAGGACCCCAAGGAACTGCGCCAGGCTTTGAAGTCAATTTTCATAGTGGCCAAACAGTGGAATTACAACATCTGGGTCCATCACGTGATGCCCTGTGGCCCAAGAAGACTTTTTCCTAGGAACTTACATTGGGGAAGAGACATCTGTGAATCAGTGGGTATATTTTTTTAGCATCACAACCCCCTCGAAATGACTTGTTTCACCATCGGGATTTAAACCATTCCCTCGGATAACATCTGGAAGAGCTGCGCGATTAAATCATTTTATCCCCATTCAAGTTAGCAGAGTGCTAAATGTACAAGTAAAGTAGTGTCTAGTGCACTTGGACTATGTGTCGCTCAGTGCGGACGCAGCGCCGATCATTCTGGTAAGCTGAACCATTTTGGCTTCATGCACTGCTGAGCAACTTTCATAAAGATTAATGGGCCCGCCTTCAAACTGTTTCCAGGTCTCTTAAAACATCCATGACCTGCTCCCTATGTGGATATTAACGGCTCATTCTAAGGTAATGAACACACAATGATTGTCTTTTTCAAGAAAATATACTTATTATATTACTAATAGATCCCCCTGAATCCTGCACACTGGACCTTTAAGTGTTTTAAGAAGTAGCTGCAAATCTAGTTTTTTTTCCCCCAGTGGTTTATTTGCTACTTAACTGATAATAATAAAAGCAAACTATCATAAATGATTTATTAAGTTTACAATTGGTGCTTTTAAACTATTAGTAGAAAACATGATATTATAAACATTAAATGTGTCAGTTATCTCTGTTATTATTAAACGTTTTCAAATACATTTGATAAAAATAATATAAATAAAAATATCTTCAGTGGTAGTTTTTGATATTTCATTTTAAAAGTTTTAAATAGAACTGCAATTTTCTTTTTAGAGGCTTTTAATTTGTACTTTTTTGTTATTTTAATTTCATTTCTTGTTATATTTCGTCTCATTATTAAATTTCATAGTTCACAGTTTCTGTTCTGTGATCAATTTAACTCAGTTAATTTGTTTCAAGCAGGCAGCCAATCAGCCAGAGTAAAAATTTAAGGTGGTCCGGCTCCTAGGGTTGTAAACAGAGCTGTGATTGGTGGATGTACAGAAATAAATAATTATAGAGGATTAAATAAAAACTGCAAACTTTGAATTGTATCTGTGGAATAACAGAAGCCTTATAAGTAGGTATCAGTCTAACCCTAGTGTGTGTGTGTGTGTGTGTGTGTGTGTGTGTGTCCAGGGGTCAGGTGTGTTAAGGGTCAGGGGTGGGGGTTCAGGTAAAGTGCGCTCCATCAGTGACAGAGTCCTAACCATTACTCACTTAAAACAGTCTGAGTCACCGCGGCTACGTCTTCCCTTTCTGCCTCTACAGCTCCCTCTGCTGGCTCGTCCACACGTTACACTTTATATACACGCATAAATAATAATAAAAAAGAGACCGATGCGCTGAGAATCAACGTGTTTTTTTTCTCTTTCGTTGAGGGATATCCTGCCGAATATAAAGTTTATATATACAATCCCTGTCGTCTGTTGTAGTCTCCTGCTCCAGATGCAGAGCCGCCATCCCTGCCGCCTGAAGCCGTTTTAATATATACTTGTATATGATTTTTTTTTTTAACCTTCAATAACACTTCATCCCTGTCACACAAAAGCCACAAAGGTTACAGATTGCTTATATACACGGTACCTCGCCATCTCCCCTTTGAACATCAGCTATCTATTCAAAACATGAGTCGCTTCACAAAAATACTTTCAGCTGTGTGCATTGCAGGTGTGTGTTCGAAGGATGAAAGTCAGAATGAACATTTTGCCTAAATTACTGTTAAAAAACGACCAGTTGAGGTAACAAACCACACACACACACACACACACACACACACACACCAAACACACAAGTCCTTTTCAGCATCTGTAGTTGACAAGATGTGGGCGAAACTAGGAGTATCTGTGTCGTTGAGCTGCTGCAGCTCGTCCCTGATACAAAGAAAAGCAGTCTTTTACCTCGACAACAAATCACTGGTTTTACAGCTAGTCTGCATGGTTCAGATTAAATAAAGACCCGCGGGTCATCAGTCTCTCGTGCAGGGCCAAAGTGCCGGCCTGTGGACGTGGCCGCTGGCTCGGCTGGGGAGGGAGGCGACATTTTCTTTTAGTGTCTTCATATTCAAAACTGAGACGATCCAAACTCTAAAGATCAACAGTCAAGACAGAAGGACAAAAACTCCACGCTTTAAAAAGAGCAAAACGGCCCAAGAATCTAGAGCGATAGCAACACAGCCGTGGTCGGGCTGATGTGTACAAACAAGTGGACTCACTTGGTGGCGCTGACTGAAAGCAGCGTAGTTACAGACGGTAAGGACATGAGGGAGGGAGAACACCACCAGCCGCTCACCAAATGCAGGGCATGCTGGGAAACCAAGGTGTGTGTCTGCTCTGCCAGCGGCTGTTGGGTGAAATAGTCTGAGTGGCCAAATTTAGGGTTTTACTAGCCACCGTGGCCTCGTTAACAACAATTCACTTCTATTCAAATACAGCTGAATAAATTGTTTGACAAATAATCCCTGGTTCTGTGGCTCAACCCCTCTGGGGTTTCGTGTGTGTGAAAGTACATTAGAGTTCAAATGTGTATGCACATTGTCATACAAGTGTGTGTCAGTGTCCATCCGTGTGACATGACGGTGTGTTAGCATGCTTGTGTTGTGTCTGTGTGTCTGTGTGTGTGAGGTCAGCGTTTCCTGTGTGGACAGTAGGTTACTGGGTCGATGGCGGGTATATATATATTTATATATATAATGTGTGTGTGTGTGTGTGTGTGTGTGCACGAAGAGGGAGCTCAGGGGCATAAGGGCTGGTGGGGGCATGTACACAAGCCACAAGTACACATCTCCATCCTCCATCTGTCCGTCCGTCCATCCATCCCTCTGCGGTCACCTCTTCATGTGACCCAGGCATCCAGTCTCATTCTCTTGACGTTGGTCCCGTCCTGCTCCTGGGGCTCGGCCGAAGGGGGCCGCATGAGGACCATGGTGGGCTGTTGGCCCCCGGCGCCCGCCTGGTGGAGGAAGTCTTGAGCTCCGCCTCGTCCCTGGGTGCCGTCGTCCCGGTCGCTGCCTTCGTACGAGCTGCCGTTGCTGCTGAGGCTGTCGACTGGCGAGCGGCCTTGACCTCCCACTTCCAGGCGCAGGGTCCCCGGGTAAGCGACCGACACCAGACCTTGTCCCTGCAGTTGAACCTGGCCTCCGCCGCCTCCACCTCCCCCGCCGCCGCTGATGGAGCTGGGAGTGCTGCGGTCGCGGTTTGGTGAGACAGGTTCGGACTTAATGTTGACATTTGGGTTTGTGTTGACTGTCAGTGCGGCACTCTGAGATATGTGACCCACCGGCCTGCAGAGATGGAGACAGAGGAGAAGAGAAGGATGGAGGGAGAACAAAGAGTGAGACTACTGACAGTATAACGATAATAATAATCACAGAGCTGTACCATCCTTCATCACATGACAGCGGACCTTCATCAGACAACAATTTGCTGGGATGAAACACAGAATTCAGCCAATATGGCAAATAATTCAAAGGATGGTCGTCGTCAGAATGAATGCATCACCATGTGCAGATAAACATAAACTGGACTTTCACCAGGATAAGGTAGCCACTGTCAAAGACAAAGACCGGAGGCACTCTGCAGCAAACCAGGCAGATGTCGGCTTGAGCACATGAAGAACAAGGACACACGAAACAAAGAGGACGACATCTGAGGCCACATGAAAGCACAGTCCATAAGCCATGCAGCCCAAACATCTGCACAGTTTGGATTTGGTCTGTTCAGGTTCACAATCAAGCAAATCAGAGCTTGGAAAATAAGTCGGATGGGATCACAGGCAGTTTGCATTTGTAACTGTTAACCTGCCAGGTGAGACATTTCTAAAGCATTCACACACACGTTACCGTCTCTGATATTAATACCAGAACAGATGCAGAAACAGCTGAGCGTGAGCATCAGTCCAGAGAACATTTCTGTTTTGTTCCCAGCTTGACAAACTGCTGGCAGTCAAATATCAACATCTGTCTGTTCCTCCTACCTAAAAGAACCCTTTGAATTTTGTTCCCAGTAGTTGGTTCAGATAATGTCTCACTGGGAACAAACAGCTCTATCAGAAGACAATCATCTCAGATATTTAGGCAAAGAAAGCCCCAGTTCTGCTGCCTTTAATGGAGCTATTAAGAAGTCAAAGGATGTGAGAAAATCTACATCACTGGAGCTTTCTATTTGGTATAATCTCCCTAACCTTATTATAACAATGATCACATGATTTCCTGTTGTCAGTGGGTGGTGCTATAACTATCACTATACGTTGGCATGCAGATGTCTTAAGGCCGGGACTCTGATCTGATTTGTAACGTGAAACTGCTTTAAGCAGTGTCTCATCGAGCGTGTGGAGAGGAAGAGACCTTTGTGGATAATTGTCTCAACATCTGGGTCAGAAAAAGGTAAGCAAACATTAACTTGTGAGAGAAAGGTGTGAGCAGACAACAGCATGTTGTGGGCAAGCCTCCCGTCTCTGAGATGCAGAACAGTGTTGGAGATGCACTGATTTGTAACGTGAAACTGCTTTATTTGGTGTTTTTACTGGTTTTAATCACCTGATTCTTGTTTGTTAGACCTCAGTGAATAATTCAGCTCCCGATTCAAACCTCCTGAACAATGAATGCTGACAGAATTCTAACCAGGAGAAGTTTCAGCTGGTTGCAATCTGAAATTCACCACTAGATGCCACCACTGCAGGACTTACACTTCTGGATCCAATGGATGGCGTACGCTACGCCATAAACTGACATGCACCTCCCCAGAAATGTAACTACATGTTGTTGCGACGCAGATCTCCTGTCTGTGTTTGTAAGCTGAAACCATTTCCCTCAGTGAAAACAAAGCTTTGATTTACTTTAAGTTCAAGACAATAAAGCCTCCACAAAAATAGCATTTTAAGTCTTGTGTGTGATTTATCCTGGCTTCATATGGGTAGAGGAAATCTCTGCTCATTGCTAGGCTAATTTATACAATGTAAATTGCCATAGGCTTGTGCTAATAACATTAGCATGTTGTATTTGTTTGGAAAACGTGTTTAGTATAAGACAGTTGTTTTGGCGGTGAACTCTGTGAGCTGTAACGTTACCTTTGTTAAATGTTGCTGTTGTTCCTGGCTTCAAATGAGTAGGGAAAAAGTTGCTAGCCACTAGGCTAATTTATACAATGTAAAATGCCATAGGCTTGTGCTAATAACGTTAGCATGTTGTATTTGTGGGGAAAATGTGTCCAGATAAAGACAAGTGTTTGTCTGTGAATGCTGCGAGTTTAAGGAGTGTTTTGGGTGTGTTTTGAATCAACTAAACATTACAGGACTTCACAGAAACTCTGCTGCCAACTAGTGTTTTGGAGGTGTAACTGCAGAGTGACACATACACACCACTGCATGAGTATAAATGCTCCCAATGGCATAGGCCGCCTGTGTAGTTTACAGCTCTGCATGGAGCTGATGCACAAGTATAAATCCTGCTTAAATCTTATACACCTCACCTCTAAAGAAAATGTTAATGAACTCAATCAACTCACCAAAGACTGTTGCTATTTCATTGTCATACGTTTACGTCTGACCACAGTCGTACAAGTTTTGAAAAGATGACCCTGGTGTGAAGAACACGCTCCAGTATTTCATTAAGCTGCTGTGTGTGTGTGCCTTAAGATGCTTGGGATAAAGTCATGTGCTGCAAAGCTTACGTCTCTGTCTGTGTCTGTGCTTCTACCTGCCACGACTCTTTGATCAGCTCCTCCACCCTCACACTCAGCCTTCACCACCTCCTCCTGCCCTGCTGGCTGGAGGCTGACTCGAACCTGTCACTGAGGCTGACACCGGCTGTTGACGCTGCACTGTGGCTTGCTCCTTTGACGGTGTCGACAGGATTGTTCGGATAGCGCTCGTTTTCTCTCTCTCTCTCTCTCTCTCTCTCTCTCTCTGCTTGACACGGTCGATCTGCATTTGAAGCTCCCAATTACTGCGTTTGGCCCCTCGGGTGTGTTCTAATATGTCATATCATGAGCCATCTGCAGCACTGTATCTCTAATATTCCCTCAATTACTGGCAGACTGAGAGGGGAATTTAAGATAGCGCTCCTCCAGGCGATCTGGGTCTGCGGCATTCAAATGTGCTCACTGTCTTGCTCCAATTCTGACACACACACACACACACACACACACACACACACACACGCACACACACTCTTGCTGTCTTACATACAAATGCTCCTTCCCTCCTATACTCTCTCACAAACACACAAATCTCTTGGCAGCGGCGAGGCTCACTCCGTCTCTCGCTGTGCCCACTTCATCAAACCTGCGCGTCGTGGTTCAGGCCGGCGCAGGTAGATGGATGGCGGTGCCACGGGGGCGCCGTTGCTATGGCGAGAAAACGGCAGAGTCAGCGGGCCGGTGACAGTGATGAAGGCGAGAGCGGCAGGCTACCCCCGAGCGCTAACAGCACAGTGAGCGCAGCCAGAAGCAGACACTTGGTTACAGTGCAGTGTGATGAGATACAGCCGTGTTTCCCAAAATGCTCTGCTTCTCCGAGGACCAACAAGCTGCACAATTACTCTTCAATTTAATTCAAATCAGACGGATTCACTGAAGGAGTCATTTCCACAACAATGTGCTGCACATAATTAACAGTTTGTTGTTGAATTTGACAAATGACAGTCGGAGCTGTTTGCAGTCCAAACTGTAATTAGCTGTATTTGTATCTTTGCATATTTAAAGGGGCATTCCACCAACTTTACACATGGTTAGTACGAGGGATGAGTGAGTTTCACCATTATCTGTAAGCATGTATGTACTTGAAATGGGCAGAGTTTAGACTGAAGTAGGGTGGAGTTTAAAAACTGTAGTGTAAGGGACCAAACCATGAGCTGTTATTTTAAGCCTGAAATTGATATGGATTTATCCGAAGTTGCTTTATTATTTCCTTCGTCATGAGTATGGATATCGACACTTTATACTGATACCCGAACTCGTAAAAAGTACACTATCTGTACTGTAAAGTTAAAAAAAGTCGGATCAGTGTCTGGGACGACGGAGAAAAATGAGCAATGAAATTACTCTGATTAGCAGTTTAGCTCAGTACACAAGAAGAGAAATAGAAGTGAGGAAAGTAAACAAAGAGCTAAAGTCCAGAGTGAGTAAGACTGAAACAAACGTGTTACAGTACATAATGTCAGATTTTTTATTTGACTCTTTGGCTGAGACACGGCAACATCAGCCGAACAGTTGGCTTTGGTCGCTACTAGTTCTTTAATGGCGGTTTGGGACAGTTCACTCCAAAATCAAAAGTACATATTTTTCCTCTTACCTGCAGTGCTATTTATCAGTCTAGATTGTTTTGGTGTAAGTTGCCAAGTGTTGGAGATATCGACCATAGAGATGTCTGCCTTCTCTCTAGTATAATGGAACTAGAGCGCCAAAAATACATTTGAAAAACTCAACAGCGATGTCTCTTTCCAGAAATCATGACCAGGTTACTCAAGATAAGACCTATTTTCTTTCTGCCAAACTACATCCACCAAGAGTGCATCAACTGCTAGCTCACCCAGCACCACTGAGCCAGCTAACGATAAAGCTCAAGTCCTACAGGACAGAGGAAAAATATGTGTTTTTGATTTTGGGGTGAACTGCCCCTTAAAATGCAAAAACAGAAACAGGTAACATCACTTTGCATATTTGATAAATACATCTGTACTTTCAGTCATATAGTTTACTATACTTTCAATTTATTCCTAATCAAATGTTAATTTGTGATAATTGCCTCTGCCTGATTGCCCCCACAGGAATCATTCATGACTAATCTTCTTTAAGCTCTTTACAAACTGAACATCTCTTCATTTCAGCAGTAAACTTGTGAAACTTAGCAGAGGTTCCTCAGAGCAGCAGATATTTTGGGATGGCAGCGTGCTGTAGCTGTGTGGCTGAAGTGTAGAGAGTGCAGTACCAGCAGAGGCCCTCCTCCCTGCCAAAGAGCAAGTTGGACTGAGAGGCTAGGCTGTGGAGGGAGGTGGAAAAAGAGACAAGCAAGTTTTAAAAAAACGCTACAACAGCAGGGAAACAGTGGGACGGAGGCCAGTCATGGTCAGTCCAGACATGGTTACTACAGACAAAAAAAGAAAAGAAAAGGCTCCACAGCTGCTTCATGTTGTTGGAGGCAGAGCTGGTACGGCAGGAAGTGTTAGAGCCTGTGCTGACACAAATTTGATTGTCGTCCACACGCAATGCATTCTTACAGTCAGCTCCAATAAACTCAACTGGCTTTTCCTGAAATGGGAATGGGCCAATGGGAATCCTCAGTGCAGACTGTCACTAAAGGAATATACTGTAAGTTCTTAAATGGCTGTTGGGAACAGTGTCACTCCTGTTTGACTGGTGAATTTGGAGTGAAATAATATTAGTATTTTGCAGTAATTTGCAGAAAGCAGAATTGACCATGACAGTCACGACTGGACAGGCACAGCTAATTTAGTATTTCACACTTATTTCAGTATTTATGGTAAATGTATGTTTCTAAGAATCCAACATGTTTGGACCATCCAGCCAGCTCTCACTCTCAACTCGTCAAATACTGCCGCTTTGTCAGTGGAACACTGCGTCAGACATCAACGCACAGAGGCATCCTCTGTGGTGGTATAATACACATCCATGGATGTATCAAGAGAACTGGATACAGCGATGGACGAGGGGCCCAATTCATTCCTGTGAGATTTGCGCAGTGGCGTATGAAGCCAAAACTGTTCAACTGTCATGTATAAAATTACCTGGATGATCCGGGCATTATTGACACTACTTCCGCACTATGTGGCCCACAGAGCATGAGACTAGGGGCTTTTGGCAGCTAAGTAGCTAACTTCCGCTGGCTGAACGATTAACTTCTGGTTTACCGCTCCGTTTAATTAAATGGGGATAAAATTATTTAATCTTGTGGCTCTTCTAGACTTTCCAAATGTTATCTGACTGAATGGATCAAATCCTGTTAGCGAAACAAGTCATTTTGTGGGGCTTGTGACACTGTGATTTAAAGATGTCTCTTTCCAAACGGAAGTCTAGGGGGAAAAGTCTTTATGGGCCCAACACGCTTCCTGGGGGACTGCATGCACCAGCCAGCGAGTGTTTCAGATGCAGTGGGCAACGACTGCAGAAAAAGAGCGAGAACGTCTGTGTAGGGAGGGTAGGATGGGTCAAACAAACTCTGGACTTTCACCCAGGAGCCCGCTGCTCGTGTTCTGTGTAAAACAAGAAGTCAATGGAGTTATTTCAATGACAACACAGTGTGCTAGTACATGCAGCATGTGTCAGTAGTGACGTGGTGTAAGACTACGTTTGTAGCAAGCGTACTTATTTTAGGCCAAACTGTGATGTTTTTTTTCTGAACCACTGACTTTTGTTGCCTAGACTTAAGGAAGTAAACCTAAAAATGAAGTGTTTTACTTTCAAGTTTAATTTGAAAGAGATGTACACCATGGATACACATCTTGCTTTGCCTGAGGACCACTTTTGCAAAATGACAGAAGACCAGTTAAAAAACAAAAATGAAAATGAATAAATAGCCTAGACTTCTGTCGAGATCCTCCTCTGGCACCATTTTTATATTCTGATTATTTTTTTTTTATAGTTTATCTACATTCAAAATACAAAATCGAATTCCCAGTGTAAATCAATTTATCACCATTTTGAATTAGAAAATGGTTGGTTGGCCATCTGGCACCCTGTTGTGGGCCAGATTTGGCTGTTGAGTATCACTGCTGTATGCATTTAACGAGCAGCAACTGTTCATTTCCTGTGAAAACAGAAGTGTATTTTGGAAAGACACAATGCGGGTAACCAGCATAAATGAAACGCTATCCCTGAACGTCCAAAATTGATGCAGGAGGGTACTTATAGCGCGTCATATTTTGATGCCTAGGTCCACAGACAAAGCGGCGGTATTTGACGAGTTGAGATGAGAACATGTTGCAGCCATGTTGGACCATCTGATGCCATAAACCAACTAACAATTTTTTTCATTATTGATTAATCTGCCCAATAATTCATCAGTTATTCAATCAATCGTTCTGTTATTAAAATGTCAGAAAACACAGAAACATGTCCTGCTGTGTAATTTCCAAGGTCTTCAAATGATATGTTATTATCATTATTATAGCTTATTATCATGCATGACAAAGCAAATGTTAAAAAAAAACCAATTATTTGATTATCAAAACAATACATTTTCTATTGATGGATTAATAAACTGTTAAAGCCTGATATTTAGCCTTTAAATGTGGGGCAAAGTAATCTGTGACCATCCTATACAGATTGTATGTTTGGTGCTAAATGAAAGTATTATCTCGCAGGTAGCAGGGAGCCTAATGAAGCGGCTGCTGGTTTTGACACTGTAGTTTCTAATCTGTATTCTGGGAAAACACTGACTCCTCTGGGGAGGTTTTACTGAACAGCCTCTGATAGCATGTGTGCATTGTGCCCTGCCGACAAACAGCGTGTCCTGTAAGCAATTTAGCAATGTGTGCACTTTCTGCAAATGCTTTTTTTTTCCTTCTCTGAAACCACAGCAGAGAGAGACGAGGTGAGAGAGACAGACTGAGAAAGACAGAATGTGTTTTTGTGGGCGAAAAACAAGATGAAAGTGAGAAGAGCACTGGGCAGAAACTTCAGCCACCAATAAAACATTTTCTCCACTCTGTTAGCTTCTCGCTACGAACATGGATCAACTGGACAAAACAACAATGATACACAAGCAGACAACATCCCGAGAAGTTGTTTTGTTTATTTCCTGCTAAAGTGTCCCAAATGGAGGCTCCGTCTGCTGATAACACATCGACTCAGTGAGGAAACAAACAACAAATGGCATCCAGAGAGCCGTTCTATATAAACAGGCAAACAAGCTGAAAGCCAGGCTCTACAGGGAGCTGCTGTAGGTGGCAGCCATGACATTAACATTTAGATTTGGCAGTGAGGGGAAGACGAGAGTCAACAGGTGTACGCCGAATTAAACCGAGTCTAACAAAAGAGCAGGAAATAAGGAGTGGAAGAGGACTGATTAAAAAGGGGGATGGGAGAGGGTGAGATGACACACATCATTTCCTCACGGAGCCCATGGCGAGTGAAAGTGTGGACGACAGCGAAGGCGAGGCTCGCAGCCAAACCGTCATTCACTGTTTGATTGGAAGAGCTTGTTTGCTCGCTGTGAGGCCGCGCTGTGATGAAAAATCAAAAACAAGCCGGAGCAGTCTGGGCTGCAGAAGTGCCCACGTCTGCCCATGCTGTCCTAGGACGGCACGATTTTTCCGTTGTGCCGAGAGAACAGTTTGGTGTGCTGGGAAAGCTTCCCACATTTCTGTGGTGCTTGCTTGTTTTCAGTGACAGCGATTCTGTCATTCTGATCCCACACACAGCACAGAAAACCTGCCTGGTGTTCACTCCACTGTCAAACCTGAGAGCGGATCAAATTAAAGTTGTGCTTATTCACTCAAATCCTGATTATTGTTCCAAATGTTTTAAAGAATGCCTCGGCTATTTTAAGGCACAACAGATACGCTCAATAAAATCTTTTAATGCTTATAACTATGGCTGCAACTGACCAGTTTTTTCTGTAAATTAATTTACAGATTATTTTAACACAGTTAAGATTTTGGTCAATATACGTAATGTCAGCAAGAACGAAAGGAAACCTTAGGATGGATTCTACATCTGAGAGTGTTGACACACTAAGCCGAGGATCGACTCTCGGTCAATGTCAGGTTGTTGGGTGGGCATCTGTCGCCTCTAGTTTTTGCGCATGTCCTGCACTGTTGGCGCCAGTCGGCCCTTGTCAGCTGTTTTATGGCCAATTCTGCATGTTAAATCGGACGCTGAGAATGAAATCACTCTGACTGGAAGTTCAGTGCAGAAGAAGAGAAACGGAAGTGAATAAAGTAAACAACTAAAGTCAAGAGGGAGCGAGATCGAAACAAACTTCTTATATTAGGTAAGATTATGTTTTTCTCAATAGAGACAGTTTGATTGTGTTTTTGTTTGCTGGTGCACTGAAAATAATTTGTTCTTTCAAAATTATTCATGTGCTAACTAGTCATGGACAAAATTTCAAAACTTTACCATGACTTTTTAAGGACCCATAATAAGTTTTGCCTGGCGTTTTTCAGACATATCGGATTCAAACAGTACTCAAGCATAATTTAAAGCTAGTGGACATTCATGAAAAGAGAAATGTAATTCTGGGAGAAAATTAAGAAACGTACATGATGGTAAACAAAACGTATTGACGCATATTAGAGCTACATTAGGTTGACATTAGGAAATAAACTTACTGTTATGTTACAACACACGGAACACTATCCGTGGAAATATACTGCAACAATTTCTTTACACACAACAAATTTCCATGACTTAAATGTGATTTCCAGGTTTTCCATGACTGTTGGAATCCTGGATGCAGGGAACATGAGGTGACGCAATGGTCGGCCTTTGCTGCTGCTAGCTCTTTGATGCCATTTTGGATTGTCTGGACCTTTAAATTGGGAACAGACTACATTTCAACCCCCACTCCTGCGCTCTCAAGTGGGATCATCGCTGGCGCTACTGGTGCAAAGACAACTGGGTCTCTTTCTGTTCTACTCAGAGCTGAGCAACTACCAACGACGCAGGATACACTGCATTTTGTTTTCCACCGTTACTGAGGTTCAGTTCAGGATAATACAGAACTTACACTGATATTGATTTGGTAACTGGGGACAGCCACTGATAACTACCAGGTTGGTTGCACAATGGCTGGTGCACTTCCTTTGTGCGGCAAGTGGAGCCTTTGAACTTTAGAGTGAAATCCACTTTTTTCCCACCAAAGTAAGCGCATCTATTTGGGTTTTTTAAATGTGGGAAAACGTGTTAAACATAGGCGATAGTGTGCTTTCCCATTGCCAATAGACCAGAGCTGTGTACGCGGCTCAGCAAATGAGTGTGCCTTCCTTTGTTTTTTTCTAGCGTGTCACAACTGTCGTCACAGACAGGCCAGAAAACAGGTAAGTAAACAGCAGAAAGCAGCATAGAGGCCAGTGAGAATGTTACAGCTGTTACTTCTTTTTTATTCCTCTTATTTATCCAGTCTCTCAAACTTGGTGCAGACTTTTGATTCTTGATCAATGTTCCAGCACTGCTTGGACAGAGACGGATCTCTGGAGGCCTGTCATTGCATTTTGCCAGCAAAGGGGCTAAAATTAGCACGTCCACCTGGGTGTTGTATTTCCATCACTGCTGATCAGAGCTGATCGGAGCTGCAGCTGATAAATACCCAGGACTACTGCAGAGTTATTTGTCCTGGGAGTGAATGCTGATTGTAACCTTTCCTATAAATACATCAGCCAAATGTTTGTGGGGTTTTTTCTAGTGGGAAAAGGAGCTTTATAGGAAGCTGGTCTAAACGCTAAATTCTATTATTCTATAGCCATTACATTGTACAATTAACATTTACTTCATGTGAGAAGTTAGAGCAAAAAACGTGTCAATTTCCACTTTAAGTGATAAAAATCTGAATGGAGAATGAAAATAAGCATGCTGTGGTTGCTATGTGAATTAAGGACACTGGTGATATAAAAAACCCTCTCTGTTGCTCTCGGTAGTGAAACAGTAGTAGGATTGTTTCAGCTAATCGTGTTGAGGCAAAGAAGTGAGCGCTGGCTGCTTCTTCTCTCTCTGAGCGGTTTAACGGATCTGTTTGCTGAATGATTTCAGACAATCTGGACGGCCATTTGTTAACATTTACAAGGCGATATGAGGAGCTCTGCTGTGGATGAGTGTTGACTATATACTGCTTTTTCAAAGATGCTCAACCCCCCGGAGTCACAGCTGCTGTATACAATAACAACCTATTTTCATATTTTCATGGACAATATTCAGCTTGTCAGACAGAGAAACAAATAACAGTCTCACTGCTGACAGCTCGCAGTATTTCAAGTGTCTTTTTAAAAAAACATGTTTTTGTTATCTCCCTTTTTTTTGTGACAGAGATTCTGAGCAGCTGTAAAGTCTCCTAAATGAACTTAATGCGAGTGTGTATCTGTAGCTCAGATTGTTCTGAACAACAGGATATCAGCATTAAGAGGGCTGTCACATGTTTGTCCATTTTTCATTGACCTCATCTATCCAAATCATCTGGTGGAGTGTGACATAAAACAACATGTCTTTTATAGTGCTCTTCGGGCCAGTCCCAATACCCCCCCTTGGCACTACCCCTACATTTGCGCGTTCCCGTGAGGGGTAGTGGTGTCCCAATTCCTTTTTGCGTGTAGGGGTAGGGGGCATAACGAGGGGTAGTGGGTATGAAACTAGCCCTTCGGAGTGAGGGATTTCAGATGCTGACTTGCCAGTGAGGGGTAGACGTCGCCATGGCTACCACTGAGCAAGAGACCGGGAAAAAAGTTCATACATAGCTAACGTTACCGTTGTCAGCCGGTACCGTTGTTAGCTAGCTAGCTAGCTTGCACTATCTGGTGTCTGTCATCTGTCCTGTTCTGCAAAATTGTCATACTTTTCACATTTCACATCATAATGTTAGCTGGTTAGCTAGCTAGCAGAAGTCTCCTGTCATCTGTAGTTCATCAAACGAAGCATGATGAATGCAGCAAACGCGATCGGTAGGATGAATGACTCCATTGTAGATGCCGGTTGGAAATGTAGAGCTTCCTGTTTAAAATAGTTACGTATGCGTGAATGTAACCGACACGGTGACATAGTGAGTGGTGTCCCAATTCCTACTACTGGTCAAATATTTTGACGACTGGCTTTTATTTTGCTTCTGCCTTTCAAGAATGACTGTGAGCCACTGCTCCGCTGTCAGCTGATTGACAGTGGGAAAACACAGCATGTAGAGGATTTATTTTGACCAAACCAGAGTTGGTGATTTTGGGACACTGGACACTCAGACACTCCTTTGTGCCCACCGCCATCAGACTGTACAACAGCAGTTTGGCTTAAGCTACGTCCAGCTCTGAACGGATGTATTTTGCATCTGCTCATAGACACTTTATTTTATTCGACACTTTGTCAATGCCATTTTAGTCACTTTATTCATCTTGATGTAGCAATTTTAGTTTTACTTTTTTTATTTTTTATTTATCGATCTTTTTTTTCTCTCTCTCTTTTATCTTATTTCTCTTTTTGTCTTGTGCTGCTGTGATACTTGAATTTCCCATCTGGGGATCAATCAAGTATATCTTATCTTATATTATCTTATCTTAACCTTAGTGAGTTTTATTTTGTTTCTGTCGAACTGTGGTAAGTTGGAAAATCACTGGAGACTGTCTTCAGGATTGCAAAAATAAACTGGAAACATAACAACCAAAGCCAGTGGGGCCAAGAGGGCAGATGATCACTGGGTGAGTATCTTTGTCACCCAACGCTGTTTTGGCCGATAAAGCTTTTGGCTTTTGGCTGTGGTGGTGACACACAGCTTCCAGGCGCAATACAACAAAGCATGTTTGTTGTTGACAACACTGAAGTGTTATTAAATTTATGTTGTTACTTTTTTATTTCACACACCTTTACTTTTTGTTAACAGAGCCGTGTTTGTGACGCCCACTTCCTTTCTCTGAGCAGGTTAAGGGAGTATTTGGGGGCTGAGGTTCAGGAGCTTGCGGTAATGAATCCTTGTACATGTAGGCACTGGAATAACAGCGGAATAATCAGAAAAACTCGGCTTCTCTGTCAATACAGCACACTGAGGAATTTACTGCTTCAATCGCCATCAACACTAATGGGGTTTCCATCCACCTATTTTTATTTTCGCATTTTCAAAAATTGCGAAAAAAAAACAAAAAAAAAACAAAACTTGGATGGAAACGCCAGAAATTTGAAAAAAGGCAGAAAATTCGCAAAAAAGTTTTTAAGCTTGGAGGGGGTGGATTTGTCAGCGTATCTATAAAAAGAAAATGCGACTTTTTGCTATGGAAACAGGTTTTGCGCATAAACGATGACATACCGGCACACAGATCCTCAAATGTGGCCCTTGACATACGGAAATGTTTCAGCCAGAGTTCGTGAGTGAAATGCTGCTGGACAACTACTTCCCAAAAGCCCTTCACACGCCTCATTCCCATACACACGGAGAACGACGCGGTGGTCTCCTTCCAGCTATTTCCGACAGTACTCTTAACATTAAACATCTTCTTTGTAATATCTTCTTCAAGATGGAAAGATAAGCTGTGAAAACTGAAAAAATGCTAACCAGAGTTCTCCCAAGAGCCGACAGGTTTATCAGGAATCTGTCCATGGTCAGTTGTTGAGTGTCAGTTGAGTGTGTTGTTGTTTACAGTGGGCATAAGACACTCTCTTATGACGTCATCTCATGGTGTACTCTTCTACGGGGGTGTTTTTGTTCATTTTTCATGAGAAGCGCCACCTACTGCTCTTTCTGTTGACACCCAATAATCGCAAAACAATAACGAATGGAAACGGGCATAAATTCACATTTTCTTTTGCGCATTTTCACAAAATTCGCTCAAAAATTTCGATACATTTGGATGGAAACCCCAATACTGACTGGATATCCCCTTGAAATGCAGCAAATTTCTCCTTTAAAATGCTCGTTTCAGTGTGTGTACAGCTACCAGAAATCGTCAGAGTTAGAGCAGACCCACGAGTTTTACAGACTGTTAACTGATTATCAAATTCCAAACTTCATTTCAGTTAATGTGATCTATCTAAATAACCCGGCTCTGACAGCTACGCTACATCTAAATTATTCTGTTTAGTCGTGCCACTGTAGGCATCCTGGGCCTACATGTGTCTGAGGAATTGAAGTCTATGTCTGTCTGTCTGCTGACAGTGACAGCTAAATGGCTAAAAAGTAAAATTTTAATGCAGTAAGCATGTCAGTGGCACACAGCTGTGCACCAGGACGCTGTTTGGTAGTGAAAGCAGCACCCAGAGACTGTAGCGAGGCACAGCTGCTGTCACACTGCAGCGTCTTCCTCTTTGTTCATGACACTTCCAAAGAGCTTCAGATCTGAGCTTAAGGTGGCACGAAGACTCTAACAACCACACAGGTAAACTGATCATCTGGAACTGACGAAACTGAAGGAGCCATGAAGTAGAGACACAGCGGAGCAACAACACGCATCACATCCAACATACACATGGAAAGAAAAGGTTAGGTATCATGTTTGTCATGTAATTGCATCTCTTCTGTTACTTATTTTTGGGTTATTTTGGTTCTGTACTTAGTCTGTGAGCAGCAGAATGACTTGACACATAAAAGGCATGGCAGAGCTGCGTAGGGCTAGATGCTATCATGTCATTCACCTCAGGTTAGCAGCAAAAGTGGAGATGCAGTTAACCATCTCCGCACTCTGTTTCTCTGCACCCCACATGCTGTGGAGAAAAAGGGGGGGAGGGAGGACAAAACAAGAGGCAGTTACAAGCCGCTCCCCCATCCACAGGTTAGCCTAGCACAGCCACACAAAGACTTAGCGCTATTGGCTAAACATGAGCCTGACAGAGCTCAGGCGAGGTTAGCTGTGGAGACGTCAAAATAATCTACAAACACTTCAAACTTCTGGAGATTTCTACCAAAGGCAGCTCCCACCTTCCTGTGATGTGCTAACAGAGAGTAGACAAAACAAAGTAAACACCCCACTGGCAAAAACACCATCACTGAAATAACTTTATCACAAAAACCCTGACAGGAGCGGGTCAGAATAATCTGAATTTATCTGCTATAAAAAACAGTTTTTAAAGCAGCATGAGACATTTAAAAGAAGTAAGAAAACCTGGAAAATATGTAGGAAATTGTCAAAGGAAACACAGTTAAAAAAACATAACAACATTCATTAATACAAATTAAAGGTGACAAATGCTGCTAAATGGCATCCAACCTCACGTGACCCACCTGTCCAGCTGTAGTTGGCTGCAGTGCTTTTCATGTTTTTTTTTCAGAAAATGTTATTATTTCACCTGTTCCCTGAATGTTACTGGCTGAAACATACTGTAAGTAAACCTCTACAGACCTGACATGAGGTGCCTCCAGTTAAATAACCAGGAGCTCAACAGGATTATTTGAAATGTTTCAGTGGAGCCAAGAGTTGAGTCGATGTCTACAACTCAAAGCAAGACAGAAATGTTCACTGTGGTGACTTGTTTGAATCAGCTCAGGTTAAACTGAACATTCTCGGCCCTGCACAGCCACACAGGTGTTTTCAGTCCTTCTGATACATTTTATCAAGGATGCACCTGAAACTAACTTGTGTGAACTTGGTTTGACACAAACCCAGTAGTATTCTGCATCAACCAGAGGTGATGGGGAGAGTTTGAGCCAATTTAACAACTGTTAGAGCTCTGATCGTGTAGGCATGGGGAAAAATTGATACAGCATACTATTGCGATATCTCAGTGTTCCCACACATTTTCATGGACAAAATGAGTTTTCTAGGACCCAGAATAACATTTTTATTTCTGAAAAACACACACTTCAGTGTCTGCTGCATTTGCCAACCTGGTTACGAGAGAGTCTCACGTCCCATGAAAAATGCTGTCACACTATGTCACATATACACATAACGTCCAAAAGCGGAAGACTTGCAAGTTTTCCGTTTGTACCAAGCAGTAAATAAGTTGTTTGAGTCACCGTAAAACTTCAACTAAATCCCTAGTCCCAATTATATGTCCAGTCCCTTTCACTAGCCTGGTGTAGCTGCACATTTACAAATAAACGCCTGTCTCAATTAGACGCCCAGTCTGGTTGCCAAGCTGTTATTTTTATTGAATTCTTTGGATGTATAAAACCAGGTTGCTGACTACGTACTTGAGCTAAGAGATTGTGCATTCAGATATAAATGTTTTAACTTCTGCTAATGAGGAGATGCTACACATTGTTAGCTCAGCTGATTTCATTTAACCAGAGAGGACCCTAAGTCATTCAGATTTACCTACATGACGACAAACAAGTGGTGACTCCCTTCGTCTGAAGCTGTCGTAAAGTCAGACTATGTGTCCAATCCTCACTGGTTCAAATAAACAGTTAATTTGATTATATTTCCAATCTTTGCTGAGCAACAGATTTGTGTAAAAGGAATTAAAGGCCTGTCCCATGTGGACATCTGTCCCTAATATACGCCTGCTGAGTTCAGTGATTTAAGAAAATACTAGCCTGGGCTATTAATCGAAGTTTAACGGTAATTTGCCTCACTTGACACTGTACGTCCGTCAGTGCGTCTATTGCGCATCACAATATCTATGCTGCAGGTAGTGCCGCACACTCATACCATCATACATGACATGTTTATTATGTCTTTAGTTTCTGATAATGACTTCAGTTGTTCTTTTATCTCAGACATGTTACGATGTTACATACCTTGACATGTTTCAGCAGAAACTTCCGCCTTCCTCAGAAGTGTCACTTGATGGTGGTTGTGACGCGTCTTTATCAGCTGATCTGTCAGTCAGCTGATGTTAGGGAGGCGTGACCATCCTGTCAAAAACTGACAGGATGGTCACGCCTCCTGCCGTCCGTCTGCTGCCTCCTGCTGTCCGTCTGCTGCGTCACACTTCCCTAATATCGGCTGATTGATAGATCAGCTGATAAAGACGCGTCACAACCACCACCAAGTGACACTTCTGAGGAAGGCGGAAGTTTCTGCTGAAACATGTCAAGGTATGTAACATCCTAATACATGTCTGAGATAAAAGAACAACTAAAGTCTTTATCATATATGACAGTTTCCACTGTGCATGAGCACACCGCATCGTGGAGTTTGAACTGCAGAGTCAGGACGTGAGCTCATACTCTGTACTGAGAAAGGCCCGTCGTCCTGAGGAACTGAAAACACCTGTGCAGGTGGGCCAGAGGTGCAAAGAGTTTCCAGACCCTCTCAGTGGCAGGGACGAAATGGGGACACCTGTAGTCTGTTTATCTGAGGTGGTCCTGAGTGCATCCTGAACAGTTAATTTATTCTCTAGCTGACATCACATCCTTGCTGTCACTTACTCGTTGGCCAATTAAGAAGAGCAATGCAGTCAGAACTTCTTCTTTTGAGGCTCTTAGAGTAAGAATCCTGTGTGTCTGTGTGTAACACAACTAGCAGCTACCAGGAGCTAAATCAGAGTGGGACTCCAGTGGGAGTCGGAGCTGAGCGGGGGGGAAGTATCTAGGTCACCACAAAGATGAATCAACCACAGCTGGGGTGATGCTACAGCTCCGTATGGGAGAGGTGCTTCCAGTGTTTTATGTGTTACGGCTGGTGTGCTGAATCAGCTGACCTGCACGGCGCTGATAAAAGTCTATGTGTTTGTCTATATGTTCGAGGGGAAAGGTCAAAGGTCAGCAAATCAATCGGATTTATGAGTTTATTGAATGAAGAAAAAGGAGCTTACACCAAATTACTGAGCGACGCCAGGCCGGGCTGCTGCTGCTGCTGCTGTTGTTGCTGGGAGACTGCTGGTTGCTGTTGCTGTTGCCAGGCAGCCATGTTGCCAGGCACCAGCCCTGGTGGTGTGAACGTCTGGAGCGCTGTGAGATCTGCACTCGTCAGCTGGTACTCTGAGATTAACGGATGGAGGGAGAAAGAGGGAGGAAGGAGGAGGGAGGAGGGGGATTGTTTTACATCATACAACTTTCTGGCGCATCAATATTAATCAGGGCTAATCCATATTAATGGAGACCTTTGAAGTGGAATCATTCCAGAAGCTCTCACACAATGAACAAAGTGAATATTCATAGTGGTTTGTGGCATCACACTGCGAGATTTTCAAGTGTTCCTACACGACACTTAAGATATTTCATGATATAATGCAGACTAGATCTTTTACTTGTCTTGATGTTTAATCTTTTCCATCTTTTTTAATTCGGTCCTGGTGGATGTGGTGTTTTAATTTCTGGCCCTGATGGAAACAGACAGATTCAGTCCCGTGTTGCTGTGGGTGGGGAGGGTGGCGTTGCCTTTGCTGTCTTACCAGTGTTGTAGGCTGTCTGCATGCCGGAGAAGGGCGCTAGGAGACTGGGTGTTGCCACGGAGACCACTGGCGTGGTGAGCGACTGCGCCACCTGGGAGCCACCTAGCCGCTGAGCATTCTGGGAAGACAGAGAGATGGATGGCGGAAATTGAACATTGAGACACAGGAAGTGGAGGAGGTTACTGCTACAGTGGTTTCTGAAGATGGGGTCTGGGGTCCTTTAGGAGGCCAGAGGATGGTTCTAAAGGGTCTCAAGCTGAATATAGACCTAATGACTGTGACGTCACGCTAACAACAATAATCACTCCTGGGTAGAGAACCGGCAGCTGATTTGAAGTTTTTAAGATGTGTTAAATCAGCAAACTTGTTTGTTTTTGTTGTCATTTTCCACAGTCAGTGTAACATTCAAAGATATGTAGTTAAACACGGTGGTTCGAATGTTTCTGCTGTGCTTATTTTATGTACTTAGTTGCTCTGCTAACATATTTGATTAAGTAAAAGTGGATAAATTGATATCAGTTATTGACCAAATAAGATGTTATATATCATCTGATTTTTTGCAAGCTGGCAAATAAGCAGATTTCTTTGGCTGTTGCTTGAACTACAGATTGTACTTCCTCCTTTTTCTTTTTTACGCGGACACAAAGAGTACAGAGGTGGATCCCGAGCCAGCCCTCACACTCACATCACTCTCAGATCGAACGATAAATGGTAACTGATCCAATACAAACTACGATTTTATTCAAATTCTCCTCTTAAATGTTTTCATGAACGTATTTTAGCTCAACGTTTGTTACCAGTCAGCTGGTGGCTGTTTGTTTCTAGACAGGCAACACGCATTACATCATCGACCAGCAGGAGCAGCTGTTTGATGGCTGTTTGTTTTGCAACCTTTCCTGAACCTCAGTGTAAGGCTGCACAATTAATCAAACATTAATTACGATCAGGATTTTGGTTTCCCACAATTAAATGGACATGATCTGTTGCGATATTGATGTTTCAAATGCGCGCTCCGCTCGTAGCGAACTTCTCTGCATATCAAATCAAGTGCTCCCTAAAATAACAGCAGCCTCTGCTTTGGGGGAGCTGTCCTCTGCGCCTGCACCCTGCAGCTGCTGCAGTCTGTGAAAAACTATCCTGAATGTTGCGACTGCAGCAAAAATCATCCGTTCATCAATCACCATCATCCGTTGTTTGAAAGTATGGGTGCGTATGGCTCATATGAACATCTAGACATGTACTAAAATTAGCTAAAACAATGTATTTTCAAAACTTTCTATTATTTCCAAACCATTTTCAGGTCTGGAACACAGTTTTCTCTAATTTCATAACTTTTCCAGGGTTTTCACGACCACTGGAACCTGGCATATAACAAGATTTGAAAAGCCTGTAATTGTGTGAATGCTCTGGCATAAGATGCTGAAACATTTACATCTAAACCTTCTCTGTCTTGGATCTTTGGATCCAGTGTTGCGGCTTCATGTCGTGAGAAAACCTGGTCTGAGTTCCACAAGATTTGTGCCTTTTTCTCCTTATATGGGCTGAGTGTTGGAGTTCACGGCACATGACTTCATCCATTTTCAACAGCAATAATGATAATGGTTAGCATGTGCTTTCCACTGTACAGCAGAGTGGATGCAGAGACCTTGGTAATGTGACTGAGAACAATTTAATTACACTATTACTACTGAAATATTTCACTGTAAACACAGCTTGTTTCACTTCGAGTTGGAATTAAAAACAAATACATTATGCTGCGATTTAATTGATTCCTTTTCTTTATAAAGCTGAAGTACAGCAACTCTAATTAACTCTCCACCCTCAGTTTCCCTGCCACATCTGAAGTTTTATGGACAGACTAAATAAAGAGAAATATTCTAAAACAAATCCACCAGAGCAGTAATAACTCCAGAGTGACATAATGAAGTGTTACATCACTTCACTTTGCCTGTGCAGGCCAGTGGAAGATGTTTTATGCATCGTGCCACAGTCAGAAGCGTTTCTGCTCCCTGTGAGAAAAATCCAAGCACCTCAGTTCTCTCTGAGGCGTTTAACTTTTCGGTGACACTTTAACATCTGCGTGCAAGATGAGAAGTGTCTCGCATCTCAAGGCGGCGTTGGCACGGCAACGCTGTCGCCGGGGCCGGGCACTTGTGAGATGTAGCGTCACGGTGGAAGGTGTTATGAGAGGCATCGCTGTGCTGGAGAATCATGCTGACAGGAACGCATGCATCGACGAGGCTGACAGACGAGAGATGAGCAGAGATGATGTGTGTTTGTATTGGGAAAGTGTGTGAATGTGTGCAGAGAGGTATGCGAGAAATGAATACACAATGTGAGGTGTTTGTTTTGAGGTGTGTGTGTGTATTTATGCAGAGAAATATGCATGAACACATGTCAGCATGCATGAGTGTGTGGGTGTAGGAGTGAAAGGGTCAAACTCCAGCATGTCCGCCTGTGTTCCAGGTTGGAGACTTTGTGATCGTTCTTCGCTCTGATCCTCGGAGCGTCGGCACGCAGATGAAACCAAACATGCACATGCTGAGCAGCTTCCACACACAGCGGAGAGTCAGCTGGTCGCTCCGGTTCCCTCAGTATCTCCTCTACGGTCTGTTTGTGCTGCACAAATGTCACTTTAAGCCCCATTGTACCAGCACTATATAAACGCACACTAGATTTTTATCATTGTTTTTTTATGTGTTTTCAAAGGTCCAGCATGTAGGATTTAGGGGGATATATTGGCACAAATTAAAGATAATATCAGGGTTGGAAATTAGCACCAACTTTTAAGCAAGTAAGGAAGTCAAAGTCATAGTTTAACATTTTGGGAAATATGCTTATTTGTTTTCTTGAGTTAAATGTACACTAAGCATGACGCTAGTCCAAACTAAGACACAGTCTGGCTCATAACTTGTTTTTGCACTTTGGTTCATCTACAGATTAAACAAACGAGACACGTGTTAATAAGTGAGCGTCAGACAGGGTGTCTACAGATATCACACACTTCAGTTTGATGCTTTTTAAGCCCTCTTAAACATAATCTTTAACCAAATTTAGGACCGATTTCTGGACAAATCCTCTTTGTCTTATTCAAGCACTACAGGTGAGTTTAAAGATAAGCAGTATATTCCTCATTCTTGAGAACTGGGACAGAACTTTACTTTTGAGGTTTTGGTTTTTACTAGAAAATATATTTTAAAGGGGAACTAATGCTTTTTTCAACCTGGGCCCTATTTTCCGATCTACTTTTGTCTAAAGGAGTGATAAGATGTTCAATATTTGACACTTCTGCAGTACGAAGCTAGGGCTGACCTGCCAGCAGCCGGTGAGCGCGTGCTATATTAAATAATAGGGCACTCAGACAGCGTCAAACAACATCAAAATACGTCCACTAAAAGTGCATTTTTCACACAGATAGGCTCAGATTGTTAGTATAATTATCCGACAACATAACGGAAAGGAGAAATGACCGTCTGTGTTTACCTTTAGCTGGATTCGGAGAGTCACTCATTTAGACAAAAGTAATGGGAAAATAGGGCCCAGGTTGAAAAAAACATTCGTTCCCCTTTAAGGATCAAAGTCTTGACTGTTAAAACTTGTGATGGACCAACAATCATTATCATGGACCAATCATTATTTCTTGAGTATCATACATGACGGATGTCAGAGTTGAGATCTGACAGAGTAGTGAGGAGCCATTTTATTTTTCAGAGTCGCTAAGAGTTCTCCTAATGCTTATCAAAATACTTATTTTTAAACCATAATTCTTATTTAGTTTGGATTTAGAAAGGCCACAGAGTTGACCTGTTGTGGTTAGGACACACCTGATAGCAGTATTTTTTAAATTAACATAAAATAAAAGCTTAGAGCACTTGAGCAGCATTCACACCTTTTTGGAAAACAGGAAGTGAGACAGGAGTCCATGTGATAAAACTGACTCCTGTTATAACTGATTAAATGATGTTTAAGTTGACAAGAATGTGGGTCATATCTTTTCACATCTTACTGTCAGTTTTAGATTTAGATTTTAAAGGTTTTTAACACATTTTAATTGTCTAAAGTTGTAATTTTTAGCCTGGGAACAACACTGTTTTCTGACACAGGGCAAGTTTAGAAGTTAAAGAAAATGAAAGCAGATCAAAGTATTTTGTTTATCTTTAAAAATCATGTTTCACCCCAAAAACAAAATGACTGTGTTGATAAGTTCTAATTTTTAGGCTTTTTTGGCAGGACATGATTTGTGCCACTTCTCAAGAATGGTTTATACATGCTGTCCTGTGCAGGACGAGGTTTTATGTAGGAATATGGTTATTAAAGTGAGTTGGTTTAATCTAAATTTTGCCAACAGGTTAGTGCAAGTATAAAGTAAAAAGACAACATTAGGTTCAGTGATAGATTTAGAGATTTGTAACAGAATGTTTTCAATGTTTTTCCAGAAATGTGGACTTTCATACAGAAGAGCTCGACTCATTTTGACAAAAAGAAATTAAAAGATGGATAAATGACATTAAATAAAATGTTTGTGGTAATCAGACCTTAAAAATTCAAATTATAGACCATTTAATGACTTTTATGGTCTGAAAATTATAAAATCGACTTTAAGACACTTTAAGACTTTTCAAGGAGCTGCAGACTCCCTATTTGGAGTGTTTTTAAATGGATTTTCTTCGACAGAGCCGAGCGAGCTGTTCTCCCCTCTTATCATCTTTAAGCTAAGCTATGTTATCCAGCTGCTGGAGGTAGCTTCATATTTCCTGTACAGACATGAGAGTGGTATCAGTATTCTCATCTAACTCTCTGCAAGAAAGCAAATAAGAGTATTTCTCGAAATTATTTCTCAAACTATTTCTTCAAATCTTCAAAAGCAAATCACGAGTCAGTCTGATCTGAGTGATGCTTTAAGTAATGCAGCTTTTTCTAAGTGAGATCAAGTCCTTTCAGTGAAGAGGGATTTAATATGCAAGGTCTGCTCCTCTCATTTATTCAGTGTTGTTCTGGGATTTTAGAAACTTGAAACTTCAAGTCCAAGTCAAGTTGTTTGGGGGTCACGTGTCAAGCAAGTCAAATTTCAAGTCCTCCTGTTGGTGACTTGACTCAAGTGTGCAGCTGTGATGGGACTCTCAGAGTCTGTAGTGAACCCTGAATGCTACTGTCTGAACCGTCCAGGAACCAGTGCAGCCAGCTGATTGGTCCACTGCGTGTCTCTGATGCTCTGAGTTCACCAGGTGCTCTGACGCTCTCACTGCTCTCCTCCTCCTCTCATCACAGCACCGGTGCCACTGAGGCAGCCCTGATGGGATGAGTTTGCTGGCGGTGTCACACTCATGCTCGGTGAGATCACACAGAGTTCGACACCACATCCACGAGGCTAAAAGTCTAAAAGTCTATTCACCTCACTCACCAACTCCAGCTCTTCCTCTGTCTGCACGGCGGGCCGAGGAGGGGGGAGCAAAGAACAGAGTTACGTTTCTGCAACAACTAACTGCAGCCAAATATGAGCATGCATTAAAAGGAACTTAAGTCTGGTAAAGAAGAGTGGTTCATAATTTGAATTACAGCGATACTTTCACATGGAAACAGGGCCTGTAGCTCTCAGGCAGCATTGACTCTAAAGTTTAACTCCTCGACTATAAAGTCAAAGTGCAGCCAAACAGATCGATGGCTGACTGAAGGAGAACGATTGGATCCAGATGTTGAATTGCACAACAGAAAAAGAGGAATATCCATATTTCTACAACAAATAAATACATGTGAAATGTTTATTTAAACATCTCCAAGAAGCGTTCTGTAGGATTTGTCTGGATTTGTGGCTTCCAAGAGCCGAGTAAACTTTCAACAAATTAACAGAGAACTTAATTATCGTGTGTTTAAAGGCTGCAGAAATTGAAATTAACTGATGTAGCAGAAAGAAAGCATTTTAAACCTGGAGACAGATTTACACAGATGCAGCTTCTGGCAGTCACAGCCAGGGTATAAAGACGCAGAATGATAATGATGCAACAGGCTCAGAGTATCTGTTGGAATCCTGCAACTTTTATGGGCCTCATGCAAGAACGTTTTTCGTATTCTGATGCTGCCTTTACATAGAATCAGGGAGCTGGTAGGCAGCAGACCAGATATCATGTTAGATGTTAGAGCAGGACGGTGAACTCAGGAGAGGCTGGCGGAGACTGGTTATGTTAGAAGGCACTGCGGCTCAAAGTTCATGGATGTTTCATTTTACCGTCCTGCCATTTGTTAGACTGTCTGTTTGTGTTTCTCGTGCCATCAGAAGGTGTTGTCCATCTTTCATCTACTGTCTGCCTGATTCCATGGCAACCAGCATGCTCGTAAACCTCTTGCTAGTCTCCTATGTTCACCAAACTCTACCTGCACTAACTTGTTGTAAGTTGCTTGTTTCAACTGCCAGTTGAATGACTGCCAGCTGTTCATCGGTGGGTGTGTTTTTGTGAGATAATAAACAGCCCTGACTTGCCACAGAAGGTGTCCTGTGTAGTGGAATCTTGCAACGCTGCTGTTAGCAATCAAAACTATGCAAATATGACTACGGCCGTGTCATCACAAAGCCGTGCTGTGACGGAAATAAAGGTGGAATGGTTTGGCATGAAGTTGGATACCACTAGACTAAAATGGGAGTCAGTGAAATACATCCCGTAGTGTTACACTCTTGGGTGCAAGACAGGATGTTTACCTGAACAGAGACCTGCACAAACGCCCTGAGGCAGAAGTTTCCTGCCAGAATATTGCTGATTTTGTTAACATATTTATATCTAAAATTCACTCAGATTACGGCATGATGTCAAACAAAAGTTTCCCTGCTGAGAGTGGAAGACGATCTGTACCTGACTTGTATGAGATGTCAAACGCGACATATTGGTTCTTGCATGAGGCCGGCTGTGTTAGACGACAGTGTCAGAATCACCACAATACGTAGGAGGACAAAGAAAGACTGCTGACTAACCCTGGTCACCAAGAGCTGCTTAGACAAACCATTATTCATTTCTAAAGTCCCACTCCAGTGTATTTCAGCATTTCTATTATATTTTTAATATATTTCTGAGTCCCTTCCTGTCCATGTTGATTAGCCACAGTGTTAGCCGAATATGTTTTGACAAATTTTGCGCTTAAAGTTAAAAAAATAAGGTTGTTGCTAAAACAGGACGATGACGTGTGACTGTGGAAGAAGCTGCAGGTCATTATGCAGGTCCACTGTGCCTCTTTGTATTTGAGCAGCGAACTGAAACATCGTTGTGAGCTAGCTAGTCATCGTCATGAGCACAAACCCGCCCTGAGCTGTGTGAGTGAACTCACCCATGAACACACACCCACTGAGCCAAAGAACAGGTTGAGGGCAGCTGCTCAGCGACGCCCTCGTTCAGCAGGCTAACCCAGTCACACAATCTGAAGTAGCAAAGGTATTTTTGTGACGGCTATTATGATCGAGTTATATCACCGTGACAGGTAACAGCTGTTAGGCTGCTAGCCAATGGCTCAACTGCACATGGCGTGATGACCTTCATCTCATTGGGGTCCTCGTTTTCAGGTGAAGAAGGTAGCTTGTCCTGGATGACTGATTCTCAGTCGTCCAGGTCATGGTACTCGTAAGTGCTATATTGTAGGCAACTGGAAGTGCTTGTGTTTCTTGAAGACGTTTCACCTCTCATCCAAGAAGCTGAACTGAACTGAAGACGCTTCTTGGATGAGAGGCGAAATGTCTTAAAGAAACGCAAGCAAGTCCAGTTGCCTACGATATAGCACTTACGAGGTGAAGAGGGTGGAAAAAAATCCTCCTCTATATAATATATGTGCTAATGCTATCCTCGCTAATAGCGATAGCATGGATCCCTCGTGGTGTTCACTGGCTGTTTCTGAGATTGTTGAGGCGCAAAATGTCTGATTTCGCAGCAGCTTTTCTAAAAACACTGCGATGCAAGTTACGATGTTATGTTGCGGGCGTGTGAAAACTGCAAAAATAGTTGTGATTCACATTCAGCGCTTATCATTATTATTATGAGCGTCCAGTGTTCACCATAGAATTAGAATCTGTTTTTGAAGGTAAGGCATGATAAGCAGAGAGAGAAACTGAGCGAATCAACACGCTGCACGCAGCTCTACGATGAAATTACATTCTACCCGTTTTAAACAGTGGAATTTGCAGTAAAGTTGCAGTGATTGAGCACAATTGCCAGGTTGCACAGAATTCACGGGGACTGTCTGAACTTGCGTTAATTGTTGTGGTCGCACCATCGTGACAACCTGGAGGGGCTGTAAATGAGTTGATCTTACATCTGAGTATTCACCACACCCCCATTCTCTGTTTTAAAAAGAATATTAACCATAAACCAGGAAGCAACACTGGCTGGAGTGGGGCTTTAACCATGATTGGCTCAACTGGAGAACACCACTGACCAATAAAAATCTGTCCTCATGAGCTAAGTTGACACTGGAGTTTGCCAGGCACTACCTAACCTCCACTTATTTTGAGTTAAATTGCTGTTGACATTCAGCTCTGACTCCATTTTTCATCCTGTTCTCTGTGAGTTTGGACCATCATTTGTCCCCCCGTGGCTGCCGTAGTTGTGTTCTCACCAGCTGCATGAGGCTCTTGCCGCTCTGCGAGGTGATGACCCTCAGGTCCGGCTTGCGGCTGTTGACCATCTGAGGGCTGGGCGGAGGCGGAGACTTAGCCGGGACTACTTTCCCCAGGCTGTTGCCGTTGGATACGGAGAGGAGGCCCGGGGAGGCCCTGGCACTGATGTAGCCGTTCGCTGGAGACACACAGAAACAGAGAGAGAGAGAGAGAGTGATTAAGTGAAGAGGGAGGGGTGGAGGAGGTTGTGTGTGTGTCTGTTTTAATGTTTTCAGTATCTGTATCTACCTGTGAACTCTGTCTCTGCTTGCCTGCCTCAGTGAGCACGTTCAGCTCTTTGTGTGTTTGTGTGTGTGTGTGTGTGTGTGTGTGTTGACGTCTGCCTGTGTGTGTTCTCATTAGCGAGTTGGATAGCTCTGTTGTACCACATGCTCCTCATCCTTTCTGCAGCTCAAACAGTGTTTTTTTGGCGGCGCTCTGATTTCTCTGCAGCTCCTCCACATCAAAACCATGTCACGCTCTCTCCAGAACTATTTTATTCCCACTCTGTCTCTCCACGCACGTCTTTCCTCTTTTGTTTCAGTCATCTCACTGAAAAACACATACAAATGTCCCTGAACTCTTTCCATCCAACACTGCAAAAAAATCCCCCACTTATTAAGTCAGTTTTGACGCTTATTGAGAAAATCTTGTTTTCTTAAAGCAAGTGATATTATTTCAACAATTCATCACAATCACTGGAGCTTCCTATGTGTTTGGACTACAACTGTGAACTGCATTTCCCATGTGTGCTTGTCTAATTGCAGGTTATTATAAGGTCTGAAGATTTGATGTTTTTGGCCCTCTTACCTCTCAGCATTGTATTTTAAAAACATATTTCCAATCAAAACCAATTTGTGTCCAGCCTTTATCAGAAATGAGAGTCAGCGTCTTGAACCAAGACAAAACAGGGCGGGAAATTTAGATTTATTTTCTTTAAAAATTCTTGAAACTCTTTGATTTGTATAGAAACCAGCTGAAATGATCTCACTGCAGTGGTCGATTAAAAAAAAAAAAAACATGTCATAATAAACTAAGACTTTGAGGACTGAAAAGAATAACGGTGGTGACATACTGGCAGAAATACTTACAGATCTTTAAATAGAGTTTCAGTAATTTCAGATGCTCACTGTAGATTTCAGCAAAAAAAAAACAGCAGAAAATATTGCATTTGCTGGGGACTATTTTCAGAGGCGGATTAATCCACATTTGTTGCTCTACTGAGTATTTGTGTCAGCAGGAGGGTGTGTGTGGGACTGAGTCAAAATAAACTACAGTGTGTGTGTTGATGGTAAATAGAGAAGCACTGACTGTGAAATTCTGGAACGATACTGATGAGGTTTTTTGTTGTTTATTTTGTTTTTGTTGTTATTTATTCCCCCTTCATGCCAGGGAAACAAAGAAATCTTCATTATAAAGAAATAAATCAACTGTTTAAAAGTCATTCAGTGCCTGATTACACTCCCTTTGAATGAACACTAATTCAATCAGACATATTCATACAACAACCTCTAAAATTACCTTCTTTGACATGAAAAACGTTTTTAAAAATAACAGCTTTAATAGCCTTTTTACTCCTTGTAATATCTCACAATTTCCTCCCTAGTATCTGTTTTATGTTGCTGTGAAAACATCAACATGTCTTCTTCAAACAGCTGCATTTATTCAAGTTTCTCCGCAAAAACTATGTTTTACAAGATTACATTTGAACACATCATGAGAATGTTATAATCTAACTTCACCTATACTCATTTTAATTAAATAGAAGTTGGCTACATTCCAGTACAAGTCATCAAAACCAAGATGTTGTTAGCAATACCAGTTCGTACCAGGTTAGCCACCGCTAGAGTTACGAGTTAACACATTATGTTGCATTTTGCACATACACACACTGTAGGGGGGCGTTAATGTGAAATGGGAAATTTTGACTTCCCACTGCAAATGGAACATACCATTAGTTCCTGCCACTAGCTGCTAACGGCTAACAGCTAACATTAACTAGCTCTCCTCCCACTGATGTCAACACAGATTTGTTGTTCACACTGAAACACTAACAGGGACACAATAAGGTGTGTCCTCTGATGCGTCAATAGTGAGTTTACTGCGTCCTTTTGTCCTGACGGCGTCCCAGGGAGATCACTGTTTGTCACACGTCACACATTTTGTATTGTCCCCGCGATGATGGGACGTTGTTAGTCGGGGTGTCTGCTTTTTAGTCTGCGCAAAACTGATGTGACACAACAGAAAGACATTCATCGGTGAACACGCTCGTATTTGCTGATTGGCTGATGACAGTCAACAAGAAGAATATCAGTCAATTATGATGTTGAGCAGATAATTAGGTGCATCTCTGCTGGTAATGACGGAACATGTCAGTGTTCAACAGTGTGGTGCACTGATGTGTTTGTAATGGAGCTCGACGGCAGAGATGAAGAAAATGCATCAATAAATACTTGTTAGTTTTTACTTTACATCACAAGCCTCATCCTTCAACAACAGAATGAATTCTTAGAATGTGCAGCACTTTTGCTTTCTGTGTTTCTCTTCGCTTTCTCATGGGTGCATTCCAGCAACATGACAGGCAACAATACAGAACGTCACATTTGTTGAACACGCCCTTCTTTCAGACTGCACAACTGGTCACATTCCAAACTCCTACAGTGCAACCCACCAGTTACTGTGTGAGAAACAACAGTACCTGATGTAAGACACGCGTCAGTCACAGAGAAGCACCCGTGTGTGTGTGTGTGTGTGTGTGTGTGTGTGTGTATACCTTGATGTCGGCCCTGCTTTTAAGCAATGTTACGCAATGTGTTGCTGTTTTTGAACCGCTTCTCAGCGTCACTACTCACTGCCATTTATACTTTTAAGTTGTTTATGTACTTGTGTATTATAAATTAAAATGTTTCCTGGGTGTTTTTAATGTGTTGCTAATTAATTTCTCAATTATGGGGAGGGGAATATTTGGGGGTTCTGGGTGTCATGACAACAAAACTCCAGCAGACAGCAGCCTGTTTGTACTGCTGAGGTCAGATGAAGAGCTCGACTCGAATAGTCAAAGAGTGTGTAAGAGGGGGACAGCAGGGACTTTCCCAGCCCTGAGACACTGAGACACACACACACCCACACACAGACTGGATTTTCCTCTGGTCAGGGTGTGTGTGTGATAGCAGATAGCAATGCTCCATGACGCCGCCTCCAGACGACAGCGGCATGTGACTCTGCTTCATCTCAGTAACACACAGTCCCGGGAGACACACACACACACACACACACACACACACACACACAGACTAAACCTGACAACAACAACAAATGAACATCACACTACCTCTCTCACAGCTCAGTGGGGGGGAGGGAGAGAAGAGAGGCGGCAAGGAGAGAAAACACAGTGAAAAGGGGGGTGATGGAGGCGGCGAGAGAGGAAGAGGAGAAGACTGAGGGTGAAGAGGAGGAGAGAAGTAAGATATAAATGAAGAAAGACAGAGAGGAGGATGAGGAGATGTGCTGAGTTGATTTGAGGTTACTGATCAGTTTACTGTATTATGTCTCCTACACAGTAAAATAAGTTATCTATAATATTGTTGTTGAAATTAAATCAAATTATTTTGCAAAAATCTAAAACAGCAGAGGACGGAGTTTGCAGACAATGGGAAGAAGAGAGGAAGAAAAAGGAGTTAGGTAACAATGGAGAAGGATGGCAAGGAAGGAAGCATGAGGTGAGCAACATAGTGGGTGGTAGGATGAAGGAAAGGAAGTGGAGAACAGGAGAGGAGGCAAGGGGGTGAAATAAGCGGTTGAGAAGGGCGAGGTAGGGTTGGGGAGAGGATTTAGGTTTTAATATGGCAGAGTTAGGGAAGGAAAGACAGCGAGGAGGTAAAGAAAAAGGAGGAGGGAATAAGAAAAGCTGGGGAGGATAGAACAAATGTGGAGGTGAGAATAAGGAAAGGAAAGGACAGAAGAGGAGGGGGGAAGCTGAGAAGGAAGAAAGGATAGGTAAAGCGGTGGTAGAAAAAAGAAAAGAAGCTGGGAAGGAGAGAAAGATAAAAAAGGAAAAAGGAGGAGGCTAAAAAGAGGAAGGAGGGGATGACTGAGATGGAGGGAGGGGGTAGAAGAAAAGGAGAAGAGGGAGCGAGGAGGCACAGGGAGCGAGACAAGAGGTACAAAAAGCGAGAGAGAGGAAGGAGGTGGGGAAGAACAGAGGAGGGAAGGAGGTAGAGACGAGTGAAAAGGATGTAGGGTAGGTATGAAGGACAGACGAGAAAAAAATGAGATGGAGAAATGTAGTCTGGAAGTAAGGAGGTGGAGAACATGAGGAGGAGTTGAGGAAGAGAGAAAGAAGAAAAGTAGGAGGTATGAAAAGGGACTAGGGAAAAGGAGGAAAGGATGTAGAGACAGAGAGGGAAATAAAGAGAAGGAGGGAAGTAGGTAGGGAATGACATTAGAGGTAGGGAATAAGAGAGAAGGAAAGGAAGGAGAGTGAGAGAGTATGTAGGGAGGAAGTGAAGATGGTCGGGAAGGACAGAAGAACGAGGACAGGAGGGGAATGAATTTCCTAACAGGCATCTGACCAATGAGATCACCTGTGACCTGCTGACGCACCCTGCATCAGGTGTTTCTGGGAAATCCTGAGTGTGTGTGTATGTGTGTGTGTGTCACTGACTGATAGAAATCTGTTGCAGGTTGCGTTCATGTCTGTGGGTAAAGGAAGAGGGTGGCGGCTTTGTGGTGACCCCAAGTTACAAGCACACACACACAGCGTGAAAGTGAGTGTGTGACTGACATGCACGTCTCAAGCTGAAACTAAATCCCCACCGAGAAACAGCCTCGAGTACTGGTATCGTGTGTGTGTGTGTGTATGTGTGTTTAGACTGCATCGTAATGGTTTCACTGGAATTGATAGACACAGATTTCTCATGCATTTTTGTGTGTTTCTATGTTGTCTGAAGTCAGTTTAACTAGACCCCAGCTGCATTCTTGTTCGAACGTTTTGGCGGTGCAGTGATAAATTGTGGAAAAATATGTCGAGACACAAAAATGTGACAACGTGAAGCAGCTAAAATCAGTCTCTCTTAAAGGGCAAAGAAACCCCAAACATTTTCTCAGTTACCTTTCTGAGCGGTATTTAGCAGTGCAGAT